AGGCCGGGCGCGGTGGCTCAAGCCTGTAATCCCAGCACTTTGGGAGGCCGAGGCGGGTGGATCATGAGGTCAAGAGATCAAGACCATCCTGGTCAACATGGTGAAACCCCGTCTCTACTAAAACTACAAAACATTAGCTGGGCATGGTGGCGCGTGCCTGTAGTCCCAGCTACTCAGGAGGCTGAGGCAGGAGAATTGCCTGAACCCAGGAGGCGGAGGTTGCGGTGAGCCGAGATCGCGCCACTGCACTCCAGCCTGGGTAACAAGAGCGAAACTCCGTCCCAAAAAAAAAAAAAAAGTAAACACCAATATATGGACATTTTTTATATTGGTGAAGAAGCAAATTGAAGAGTCATCTGTGCTTTAGAATTAAAAGGCAAATAAAACTAAAACCTCTCCTTTTAAATAGAAGACTGTGTTAAGAGTTCCTCAAACGCACTGGTAATCCTGGAAAATATTAACATTTCCCACACATTTGTGATAAGGCATGACCTGAGGGGCTTTTAACTACCCCCTCTCCATTATCTCCATAACCCCAGTCCAAATAAACAAAATACCTAATACTAGCTGTCTTGCCATGCAAATAATCGCGTTTCTAAATAAAACCCCTATGTCCCCACACTTACCATATTGCGACTTCCAAGTCCCACCTGTATGGAAATCTGAAGCTACGACTGTTCCTAACGAATTTATCTAGAGTCAAATAATTGATGGGTTCATAAAAGGATTTAGAGGGCAGTATCAACCAAAAAGTATTTTAAAGAGAATATTGAGCGAATTCTCACTTTGTGATAGGGCCAATGATACATGCTTAACAAGGTAACAATGCTTAATTGTGCCTCTGGCAATTGTTAGAGATATAAAATGTATTGTTAAAAAAAAATTAGCTGGGCATTGTGGTGCATGCCTGTAATCCTAGCTGCTTGGGAGGCTAAGGCAGGAGAATCACTTGATTCGGGGAGGCAGAGGCTGCAATCGTGCCACTGTACTCCAACCTGAGGGCAGAGCAAGACTCCATCTCAAAAAAAAAAAAAAAAAAAAAAAAAAAAGTATTGTTTTTGAAAACCTATTTCTTAGGCTTTCTTAAAAAAAACCTGGAATTGCAAAAAAATAAATATTGTTTTAAACAGAGACCAGAGAGTGACTGAGAAATTGTCAGGAAATATTTCCAGAATTTTTAGGAGTTCTTTGGAAAAGCTAAAAAACTAAATGTTACCTAATCAAATTTAAGCATTAACTAACATTGCTAAAAAATTATTCACCTTTTAAAATTTGACATCTTAATTCATTTTATTTTCCCATATCTGCTTTTTGGGATATTCCTGAGGCCATTAGAGCACAATTTTTTAAGTTCTAGAAGGGAAATGAAGAACCTTAAGAAACACAAAATTAATTGGAGCAAATAGGCAGCATAATGGGATTGGGCACTGAGTTCAGACAAAGGATGGGTTATAACACATAGAGGGAAAGCAGGAACCTCCCACTCCACATGACTGCTGTTCATGAGAATCACATTCTTTCTCTCTGTCTTTACTGACAGGTGTGGAGTTTGGAGCTCGTATGGTCAACATTGATGGAAAACAAATCAAACTGCAAATCTGGGATACGGTGAGAGTACAAAATAATTTAGTCTCTGACCAACATCCAAGTATAACAAGAAAAGCTGATGCAAAGGAAAGGGCTGTTAAGGATGGGACTAATGGTGGGGATGAAGAAGGGGAAAGGTAAAATCAAAGAGAAGCTTTTGATTCTGTAACAGTTACAAATTCTGAATGCTGTATCCTTGTGTTGTAAACTATCCAAGTAATATATTAATTTATTCTAGTAAAAATAAAATCAAACAATATAAGTATATAGAATAGAAAGAAAAAAAAATGTCCCCTTTTTATATGTAAACCCTTTCTCCCTCCCCATCTTGGTTGCTACTTTCGCAGGGGAATCATTACTGATGATTCCATGTATATGCTTTCAGACTTTTTCTATGCATTTAGATACATAAATATAAACACAATGAAATATATGGTAATTGTTTTTATTAGTGTTTACATGTATAGAATTGTGACAGAGTAGACCTAGTTGTATGACTTAGAGTGTATATTAAACAATCTCTATGTTGTGGAAACCTTGCCATGTCAATACACATCGATCTACTTCATTCCTTTTAACCACTGCATAGTCATGGAATGTCAGTGGCATAATTTACTTAACCATCCTCCCATTGATGGAAATATGGGTTATTTTCCAATTTTTCATTATTGTAAAATTTTTATTTTTATTTTTATTTTTTTGAGATGGAGTCTTGCTCTGCCCTCAGGTTGGAGTACAGTGGCACGATCTAGGCTCACGGCAACCTCTGCCTCCCGGGTTCAAACGATTCTCCTGCCTCAACCTACCAAGTAGCTGGGATTACAGGCATGTACCATCACGCCCAGCTAATTTTTGTATCTTTAGTAGGAATGGGGTTTCACCATGTTGGCCAGGGTGGTCTCAATCTCTAGATCTTGTGATCCGAGTGCCTCGGCCTCCCAAAGTGCTGGGATTACAGGCATGAGCCACCGTGCCCAGCTGTAAAATTTCATTGAATATCCTTTTTTTTTAAGACAAAGTTTTCCTTTTGTCCCCCAGGCTGGAATACCATGGCATGATCTTGGCTCACTGCAACCTCTACCTCCTGGGTTCAAGTGATTCTCCAGCCTTAGTTTCCCAAGTAGCTGGGATTACAGGTGCCCACCACCACACCTGCCTAATTTCTTTTTTATTTTTATTAGAGACGGGGTTTTGACATGTTAGCCAGGCTAGTATCAAACTCCTGACCTCAGGTGATCCACCCACCTCGGCCTCTCAAAGTGCTGGGATTACAGGTGTAAGCCACTGAGCCTGGCCTGAACATTCTTATTTCCTAAAATCTTTATGCAAATGTTTGAGAATGTTTATGGAATATCTTCCCAGAAATGGAAATTCTGTCAAAAGCTTGTACATATTTTCAAATTTGATACATGTGGTAATGCCAAAATTTAGCTTGGCTTAGTGTAATTTTGCCCTATCCAGATAAATTGCTTTCATGTGTATTACATCACTTGATTTGTACCTTTTTCCCCCCTAAGTAAAATAATACCATAGTCTCCATTCTAGTTAAAGGGAGCTAGCAAATAGTTTGTAATATTCAACTAAAATCTCTTAATTTTTTTGCCTGCTTCTTACTATGTGATTCTGTTTCTTCTCTGAACTGAGAGTTAAAGCCATTATATCTACCATCACTGCAAAAATTATTTTTTCATTTTCTCTCTTTCCCCTCTTTCTTCTCTCCCCAACCCTCCTCACCACACCCAAGTATTTGTCTTAAAAGTAGTTGAAGGTTAAGTCTGTCTGTCTGTCCATCTGGCTAGCTAGCTATATCTATAGATACATTCCCCACTCTCCCCACCCCAGCTGGGGAATTTTTGTAGAGATGGGGGTTTCAGCATGTTTTCCAGGCTGGTCTTGAACTCCTGGACTCAAGCGATCCACCCTCCTTAGCCTCCCAGTGTTGGGATTACAGGAGTGAGCCTTGGCACCTGGCCAAAGTGGAATGTTTTGATGCCAAGAAAAAAACCAGTAAGTGCCATTTAGTAGTATGGTCATGGCAATGGGTTTTTTTCTTTCTTTCTCTTGCTCATATGAGACATGGATGGCAAATGAAAGTTAGAAAGTTGAGAGCTTGATTCTGCTGAGAGAGAGCATGAAAAGAAAAACAATAAAAGAAAGTTGAGAGCCACTACTTTGGACAGAATCCTTAAGTACTACATGGTCATCCAACTGGCCTAGTTCTTTTCTCTTTCCTCTTAAAATTGTTTTGAGATTAATATTTGCTAAATCATAAAAAGGAACCAGTTTTAGAATACTGTGGTTTTCTATTTATTTTGAAAATTTTAAAAGATTTATACCTATAACATTATGTCCATCTAGTCTGCCACCTTTTGGGTAAGCTTGATCATGTCTCCCTTGTCAACCCTGATCTCCTGCCCGTTGTTTACCCATCTTAGCTTCCCACCTTATTGACCCATTCTCTCACTTAATTCCAAAACCATCCTATATGAAAATGTTTAGGGAGGATTACCATTACAGGTATTTTAAAGAGATCAGGTTGTCCAAAGGTTTTTGTTGTCTTTATTCTGGCATTTATATGGATTTAGAGGAGGATATTTAAAAAAATATTTTATGTGTGTGCGTGTGTGTGTGTGTGTGTGTGTGTGTGTACATATTCCTAAATAATGCTAAAGAAGTGGTAAAAAATTTTTTCCCCCTGAACAACCCTTCATTGGAAGGAATGCATTAGGAAAATAGTGTATCTGACTTTCTAGGAGTTGATATTTCAAACTGTATACCTTTTTTTTTTTTTTTTTTTTTTGAGACGGAGTTTCACTGTTGTTGCCCAGACTGGAGTGCAATGACACGATCTTGGCTCACCGCAACCTCCACCTCCTGGGTTCAAGCAATTCTCCTGCCTCAGCCTCCCGAGTAGCTGGGATTACAGGCACGCACCATCATGCCCAGCTAATTTTTGTATTTTCAGTAGAGACGAGGTTTCACCTTGTTGACCAGGATGGTCTCGATCTCTTGACCTCGTGATCCACCCGCCTCGGCCTCCCAAAGTGCTAGGATTATAGGCGTGAGCCACCGTGCCTGGCCCAAACTGTATATCTTAAACAGTATAGTATGATGCTTCCACTTGGGAGAGATTAGAAAGCTATTAATTCTCTCATCAACCCTTTATCTTTGTTCTTTGCTGCTGCATTTTTTTTTTTTTTTTTTTTTTTTAAGATAGGGTCTCGCTCTCCACCAAGCTGGAGTGCAGTGGCACGATCTCCACTCTCTGCACCCTCAACCTCCCCAGCTCAAGCCATCCTCCCACCTCAGCCCCCTCAAGTGACTGGGACTATAGGTGTGCACCAATCACACGTAGCTAATTTTTTGTATTTTTTGTAGAGACAAGGTTTCACGATGTTGCCTAGGCTGGTCTTGAACTCCTGGACTCAAGTGATCTGCCCACCTCGGCCTCCCAGAGTGCTGGGATTGTAGGCGTGAGCCACAGTGCCCAGCCTGCTGCTTCAGATTATTTTACCGGGGATGGACAAGGATACCTGAGAATGATGCAGAGAAGCCCAAGTCGAACTGCTCACTCTTTCTAGCTTACTAGTTCACAAACTTTGGTTCATGAACTGGATTGAGATGAAGTAGAGTGATCTGATTTTAAAAGGTTTTCTCATGAACCACTGATAGCATTTTCAGCTGCTAAAGTTAAATGCTGCTTTGTGATTGAACCATCATGTGGGCCTCCCTCAAACTTTTCCTTTTAGTTCTTGGTAGGCTGTGAGGGAAGTAGAGGGAGGCTTTTAACCATAGCAGGAGAGGAGAAAAAGTAAGCGCTAAAAGGAAAACAAGGCCAAATATAAGACATTAGGGAGTAATATAAAACTTTAAGTATTTTTAATCTTAAAATGTTATTGGTATTATGACAAAGGACTTTAGAATTATTTTTTATTTTTGGATTCTGATCCTCTAACAGCTGTGCAACTCACTGAAATGTTTCTATGATTTTTGTAGAAAGAAATTCTTCTGTTGTTGAAAAAGTAACTTTAGAGTTTGTATACTGAAATTCTCTTCTCACCTACAAACCTCAATTTAGGTTATGTGATACAGTGACTAAGAGGGCAAGCTTTTGTCCTAGGAAGCACTAAGGATCCTAAGTTTAAATTATGGCTCTAGCACTTAATAAGCTTTATGATTTTGGAACACTTATTAAACTTGTGTGAGATTCATTATTCCCATTTTTAAAAGGGAATAATAGTCTGGGCATGGTGGTTCACCTGTAATTCCAGCACTTTGGGAGGCCAAGGCAGGTGGATCACAAAGTCCAGGAGTTTGAGACCAGCCTGGCCAACATAGTGAAACCCCATCTCTACTAAAAATTAGCCAGGCATGGTGGTGGGCACTTATAATCTCAGCTTCTTGGGAGGCTGAGGCAAGGAGAATTGCTTGAACCTGGGAGGCAGAGGTTGCAGTGAGCCAAGATTGCACCACTACACTCCAGCCTAGGCAATAGTGCTAGACCCCATCTCAAAAAAAAAAAATTAAAAAACAAAAAAAACAAAAAAGGGGAGGAATAATAATATCTGCCCTAGGGTTGCTAAGAGAAGTGAATGAAAAATCATCTCTTATATTTCTTAACACATTGTATATGCCAAAAAACAATTTATAGTCCTATTGCAGTGTTATAATTAGTATTACCACTATTAGTGGTATTATACTATGAGAACGCTGTTCATCTTCCCATGTCCTCGATCATCATTCTCCCACTTGTAAAATATAAATCAGAGTCTTACCTCCTTTTATGTAGGGATATAAGGATGAATTATTTCAAGAATGTGAAAACTTTCTTAATAGGATAGAGTCAATGTAAAGGATATTCACATTATTTAAAAGATGTTTTTGTTTTCCCTAAAGGAAAATAAAAGAACTATTCCATCAAGAAAGCAAAAGTACCCAGTATTATGGGGTCATAAATAACTCAGTTTTAAATAGAACTTAATATCTTTGTCCAACTGGAAATGAGATTAGAGTATGAACATTTGGATTTTTCTAGGAAAGCTCTGTTCTGGGCCCTGGGCTTCTTTCTCTGTTCCTTATTCCTGTTTCCTATGACAGGAGCCCAGAAAGAGACATTTAGGTAGTCTTGCATTATCAGTGGAACACTAAAGGTCAGTTAGAAGATACTCAGTTTAAGTGCTTTTAATCTAATTTTTACACTGATTCATTGGAATGAAACTTTTATTAGACCAAATATGATGTGTTCAACATCATATTTGGGATTGAAAAAATGACATACACTCAGTTCCCAGTCCTATTTCCAGTTGTTCTTTCATGAGGATACTGGAAAACATATGCAAATATCTTTATCATGCTGACTGTGGGGTGCCACGGGTATTTAGTGATGGAGATCCAGGGATGCTAAACATCCAGTAATCTGATGGACAGTCTCTCAGGAAGAGTAAGTGACTTGCCCAAAATATCAATGCATTCCCATAGAAAAATACTGATTTTCCACCTGGGCTTCTTCTCGGGCAGGCGTGTTTTCTTTCCCTAATTCTCTTAATAGAAGTTCCTTTTTTAGTTAAGTCCTTTGTATTAGGGTGGCATGTGATCAAGTCAGTTCTGCAGAAATAACCTAGTTTTGTTGGGATTTTTTGTTGCCATGTTGGTGGGAAAGGCTGGGCAAGAATCCTTCCGTTCTATCACCCGTTCCTACTACAGGGGAGCAGCTGGAGCACTGCTGGTGTACGACATTACAAGGTGAGCCAGACCTGGTGCATGGGAGGGAGATTCTTCCCTACATTCTCTAAAGTTTTTTCTTTCTCTATCTACTGATTCTGTCAAGGATGTTGACTAGGAATGGCCTCTCTAATATTTTTCTTTACACATATGGCTTCTCCTCTTTTCCTATATACTTGGAGTTGTTTTGGCCTTTTGAAATGTGTGTCTGACCCACATTCTAAATTTTTCTGCTGTAGGCGTGAAACCTTCAACCACCTGACCTCATGGTTAGAGGATGCCCGGCAGCACTCTAGTTCCAACATGGTTATCATGCTCATTGGGAATAAGAGGTAAAATTGTATCCATGTGAATAATAGTTAACAGGAATCATCTAGGTACTCTATGGATGTTGATATCCTGGGCCCAAACTTTCTTAGTTTATGGTTGTTGTAGTGTTTCATTAAAAAAATGTTGGCTGGGCACGGTGGCTCACACCTGTAATCCCAGCACTTTGGGAGACCAGCCTGACCAACATGGTGAAACCCTGCCTCTGCTAAAAATACAAAAATTAGCTGGACATGGTGGCAGGTGCCTGTAATCTCAGCTACTCAGGAGGCTGAGGCAGGAGAATTGCTTGAACCCAGGAGGTGGAGGTTGCAGTGAGCCGAGATCGTGCCACTGCATTCCAGCCTGGGCAACAGAGCAACACTCCATCTCAAAAAAAAAAAAAAAAAGCTGTATTGTAATAAAATATATATGACATAAAATTTACCATTTTAACTATTTTTAAGTGTACAGTTCTGTAGTAATAAGAGTATTCATTATTCTGCAACAATCACTATCCATCACCAGAACTTTTTCATCTTTTTAAACTCTATACCCATTCAATACTAACTCCCCATCTTTCCTCCCTCATCCCCTTCATCCCCTAGTCCCTGACAACCATCATTCTACTTTCTTTCTTTTTTTTTTTTGAGACGGAAGTTTCACTCTTGTTGCCCAGGCTGGAGTGCAATGGCATGATCTGGGCTCACCACAACCTCTGCCTCCCAGTTCAAGTGATTCTCCTGCCTCAGCCTCCTAAGTAGCTGGGATTACAGGCATGCACCACCACACCTGGCTAATTTTGTATTTTTAGTAGAGATGGGGTTTCTCCATGTTGGTCAGACTGGTCTTGAGCTCCTGACCTCAGGTGATCCACCCACCTCGGCCCCCCAAAATGCTAGGATTAGAGGTGTGAGCCACCGCACCCAGCCTCTTTTTCTCTATGAATTTGACTGCTATTGATACCTCATATAAATAGGCTCGTAATATTTGTGCTTTTGTGACTGGCTTATTTCACTTAGCATAATGTCTTCAAGGTTTATCCATATTGTAGCATGTGTCAGAATTTCCTTCCTTTTTAAGGATGAGTAATATTCATTGTATGCATATACCATATTTTGTTTATCCATCTGTCCATGGACACTTGGGTTGTTGCCATCCTTTGGCTATCGTGAATAATGCTGCTATGAACATGGATCTGTTCAAGCCCCGGCTCTGAATTCTATTTTTTTTTTTTTTTTCTTTTTTTTTTGAGACGGAGTTTCGCTCTTGTTGCCCAGGCTGGAGTGCAATGGCGCGATCTCGGCTCACCGCAACCTCCGCCTCCTGGGTTCAGGCAGTTCTCCTGCCTCAGTCTCCTGAGTAGCTGGGACTACAGACACGCGCCACCATGCCCAGCTAATTTTTTTGTAGTTTTAGTAGAGACGGGGTTTCACCATGTTGACCAGGATGGTCTCGATCTCTTGACCTTGTGATCCACCTGCCTCGGCCTCCCAAAGTGCTGGGATTACAGGCTTGAGCCACTGCGCCCGGCCCCCGGCTCTGAATTATTTTGGGTATATGCCCAGAAGTGGGATTTCTGGATCATATGGTAATTCTGTCTTATTTTTTGAGGAACTGCCATTTTCCATAGCAGCTATTTCATTTTACATTCTTACCAGCAGGACACAAGGATTCCAGTTTCTCCACATCCTTAACAACACTTGTTATTCTCAGTAAATTGTTCTTGACACCCACAGGCCAAAAGAAATACCTAATAGTTTTATTAAATAGTTATTTCCAAACAACATGAGCATTTTTTATAACTACTTAGTAACTATTTGAAAATAAAAAAGGCCAGGTGCAGTGGTGTGTGCCTGTAATCCCAGCACTGGGCAGATTGCTTGAGCCCAGAAGTTCAAGACCAGCCTGGGCAGCATAGTGAGACCTTGTTTGTACAAAAAAATTTAAAAGTGAGGTGGGAGGATCACTTAGGCCTGTGAGGTTAAGCCTGCAACGAAGCCATAATTGTACACTTCACTCCTGCCTGAGCAACAGGAGTGAGACCCTGTATTTAAAAAAGAAAAAATATTTATATTTCATTCTTAAATAGCAACAGTTACCTACTAAAGACCTGTGTGTGTCTGTTAGGCACTGTGTGGCTTCTCAAACCATGGAATCACAATTGCACACTGCTACTTTCATTTCCCATTCCATATTGATTTTTGTGTACTGCTTACTTTTTTATAACAGCAACTGCCAAAAACAGCTTCTCAGAGATATGAAGATATTGAACAGATTTTATCATAATCTGATGCTGACACTGCAAACTATCTTAAGTTTGTAATTCATGTAGTATCCTTTTGTTGAGTGTTGCTGTGTTTTACTCAGAAGTTTAAAGTATCCCATGGCACCCTTGTGAGTTTGTAGTAATACACAGACTGCACTATTTGAGAACTGTGGCCACAGGCTAATTTTTGTTTATTTGTTTTTGTTTTCAGACGGAGTCTCGCTCTGTTGCCCAGGCTGGAGTGCAGTGGCACGATCTCGGCTCACTGTAACCTCCACCTCTCCCGGGTTCAAGTGATTCTCCTGCCTCAGCCTCCTGGGTAGCTGGGACTACTGGTGCACCCCACCACACCTAGCTAATTTTTAGTATTTTTAGTAGAGATAGGATTTCAGCATGTTAACCAGGATGGTCTCGATCTCCTGACTTTGTGATCTGCCCACCTCGGCCTCTAAAGTGTTGGGATTATAGGCATGAGTCACCATGCCCAGGTTAGGCTAATTATTTTTATTGGATCAATCGATTTATTGAAAACTACTGTGCTAGACTCTGAGTTTGCAAGGTGGGAAAATGTCATGCCCTTGCTCTCATGGAGCTTACAGTCTAATGGTGGCATAGATGTTAAATATAAAATTATTTGTATCAAATTTTAAGTTGTGATAAATGCAATGGAGGGAAAAGGGGGTGCTATGAAAGAGTAATGGGAACTACTTTCGATCAGGAGTGATATTAAGCTGGGATCTGAAGGATGGGCAGGAACTTGCTGGGCAAAGATTTTTTTTTTCTGAGACGGAGTTTCACTCTTGTTACCCAGCCTGGAGTGCAATGGTATGATCTTGGCTCACCGCAACCTCCGCCTCCTGGGTTCAGGCAATTCTCCTGCCTCAACCTCCTGAGTAGCTGGGATTACAGGCACGCGCCACCATGCCCAGCTAATGTTTTGTATTTTTAGTAGAGACAGGGTTTCACCATGTTGACCAGGATGGTCTCGATCTCTTGACCTCGTGATCCACCCGCCTCGGCCTCCCAAAGTGCTGGGATTACAGGCTTGAGGCACCGCGCCTGGCAAGATTTTTTTAAAGGGTATTACTTAGGGGGAACAAACATATGAATGCCTTGTACTTGGAAGAAACTTGACGCCGTTATGGAAAGAAACCTGGTAGGGTTGGATTCAAACAAGAGGGAATAGTACAATATGGGGTTGGAAATGAGGGACCAGATTTCATCATCTTATAGGCTTGAGCAAGGCTTTTGGATTCTATTCTAAATACATGGAAATTGAAGTTTGGGAGATGGGGGATTAAAAAATAGTAATAAATAAATACACTAGAAGCATTTTAAAGTTGTAAGTAGAAAAGTGGCTTGATCAGATTTTAAAAGATCACTCTGTAGGGGAACAAGGGCTGAAATAGGATCCTAGTTGCAATTGTCCAGGTGAGAAAGAATGGTGGCTTGGTCTAGGAAGTAACCCTGGAAAGATAGTGAAAAGAATGATTTTGGGCTGGGCGCGGTGGCTCAAGCCTGTAATCCCAGCACTTTGGGAGGCCGAGGCGGGTGGATCACGAGGTCAAGAGATCGAGACCATCCTGGTCAACACGGTGAAACCCCGTCTCTACTAAAACTACAAAAACATTAGCTCGGCATGGTGGCGCATGCCTGTAATCCCAGCTACTGAGGAGGTTGAGGCAGGAGAATTGCCTGAACCCAGGAGGCGGAGGTTGCTGTGAGCCGAGATTGCGCCATTGCACTCCAGCCTGGGTAACAAGAGCGAAACTCCGTCTCAAAAAAAAAAAAAAAAAAAAGAATGATTTTAAGGTACATTTTGGAAGTACTTTACTTTGGGATGGATTTGATATTTGGAGTAGGGAGGAAAGGGTATCAATAATAACACTTTGGTTTTTGGCTTATGCCATTTAGTGAGATACAGAAGCCTGGAGCAAACACAGGTTGGGAGAAAAGAAGTTCCATTTTGATGTGCTAAGTTTGAAGTGCATTTTATGTATCTGTGTGGAAATGAAGAATTTACAAATGTATAAATCTGGTGCTTAGTCAAGCATCTGGGCTAGAGGTACAAATTTGGGAGGGTTGGCATTTAGATAGTTCTTCCTCGGTCTTCACACAGCTGATGTATAATAAATTAAAATATTGTTGATTTGTTGTTCTTAAATAGTCTTACACTTTTTTTTCAAGGAGTTGAAAAACTGGAAGCCTTCCAAATAAAAATTTTCAAATTGAAAAATAAAAATCGGCCGGGCGCGGTGGCTCAAGCCTGTAATCCCAGCACTGTGGGAGGCCGGGGCGGGTGGATCATGAGGTCAAGAGATCGAGACCATCCTGGTCAACATGGTGAAACCCCGTCTCTACTAAAAATGCAAAAAATCAGCAGGGCATGGTGGCGCGTGCCTGTAATCCCAGCGACTCAGGGGGCTGGGGCAGGAGAATTGCCTGAACCCGGGAGGCGGAGGTTACGGTTACGGTGAGCCGAGATCGCGCCATTGCACTCCAGCCTGGGTAACAAGAGCGAAACTCCGTCTCACAAAAAAAAAAAAAAAAAACAAAAAAAGAAAAAGAAAAATCACAAACAGCCCAACCTTGCCTTATTTTACAGGGTTTTTGGTTTGTTTGTTTTTGATTTGTTGTTGTTGTTGTTGTTGAGACAAGGTCTCATGCTGTTGCCCAGGCTGGAGTACAATGACATACTCAGCTCACTGCAACGTCTGCTTCCAGGGCTCAAGAGATCCTCTCACCTCACCCTCTTAAGTAGCTGGGACTACAGGCATCTGTCACCATGCTCTGCTGATTTTTAAATTTTTTGTAAAGACAAGGTCTCACTGTATTGCTCAGACTGGTCTTAAACTCCTGGGCTCAAGTGATCCTCCTGCCTCAGCCTCTGACAGTGCTGGGATTATAGGCATGAGCCACCACACCTGACTCTTCAGCCTTTTACCGTATTTTTCATAAGATCTTTTGATGCTGTTTTTATTCATTTTCTCAGTTCTTAGCTCTATCTTTTTTCCCCCATATCACCTAATTTTTTTTTTTTTTTTTTGATTTTTTTTTTTTTTTTTTTGGTGATGGAGTGTCACTCTGTTGCCCAGGCTGGAGTACAGTGGTATGGTCTTAGGTCACTTCAACCTCCACCTCCTGGATTCAAGTGATTCTCCTGCCTCAGCCTCCCAAGTAGCTGGGATTGCAGGTGCACACCACCATGCCTGGCTAATTTTTGTATTTTTAGTAGAAAGTGGATTTCACCATGTTGGCCATGCTGGTCTCAAACTCCTGACCTCGTGATCTGCCTGCCTAGGCCTCCCAAAGTGCTGGGATTACAGGCATGAGCCACCACACCTGGCCATATCACCTGATTTTATAATGTGACTTTCTCTCAATTCCCTGGTGGCAAGCTGCTTTTATATGCACTGGTAATAAAACTACTGAGAATTAAGACAACTGCATTTTCCTTATTCCTGCTTCATTCTTTTCTTGTGGATTGATGCCAGTAAAAAGGAAGATGCAACTGGACACAGTGGCTCACTGCTACTCTGGAGGCTGAGACAGGAGAATCACTTGAACCTGGGAGGCGGAGGTGGGAGTGAGCCAAGATCATGCCACTGCACTCTAGCCTGGGCAATAGGAGTGAAACTCTGTCTCAAAAAAAAAAAAAAAGAAAATGCTTATCACTGCTGGATAATACATCTTATGACTTTTCTACTTTCTAGTAACTCGAGTTTTTCTTCTCTTTTTTTTTTTTTGTTTTCTTTTGAGACAGAGTGCAGTGGCGTGATCTCGGGTCACTGCAACCTTTGCCTCCGGGTTCAAGCAATTCTCCTACCTCAGCCTCCCAAGTAGCTGGGATTACAGGTGCACGCCACCACACCTGGCTCATTTTTGTATCTTTAGTAGAGACGGGTTTTCACCAAGTTGGTCAGGCTGGTCTTGAACTCCTGATCTCGTGATCGGTCCTCCTCAGCCTCCCAAAAATCTGGGATTTTTATTTTTTTAAAGATGGAGTTTCATCATGTTGGACAGGCTGGTCGTGAACTCCTGACCTCAGGTGAGCCGCCTGCCTTGGCCTCCCAAAGTGCCGAGATTACAGGTGTGAGCCACCGCGCCCAGCCCAAAAATCTGGGATTACAGGCTTGAGCTACCACACCTGGCTGAGTTTTCCTTGCTTGCTTTTTATTGAGACAGAGTCTAGCTCCGTCACCTAGGCTGGAGTGCAGTGGCACAATCTTGGCTCACTGCAACCTTGGGTTCAAGGAATCTCTTGGGTTCAAGACATTCTCCTGCCTTAGCCTCCTGAGTAGCTGGGATTACAGGCGCCTGCCACCACACCTGGCTAATTTTTGTGTTTTTAGTAGAGACAGGGTTTCACTGTGTTGGCCAGGCTGGTCTCAAACTCCTGACCTTATGATCTGCCCACCTCGGCCTCCCAAAGTGCTCAGATTACAAGCGTGAGCCACTGGGCCCTGCCAAGTTTTCCTTTCATCATCTACACTTTGCTTTCCTTGATCTCATTAGAAAAACAAACAGTAGGGCATAAGCTTTGTGTAACTATGGGGGCTTGCCTAACCCTTGATAAGCCTTTTTCTCTGTAATAGAGTGAGGTATTATCTTTTAACTATGCAGCAGCTGTCCTAAATATGAAGAATATTTCCCAAGGGGCTACAGAAATCAGTAACTCTATATGAGAGTATCTTGTAGGATCTATGTTCTTTATGGAATAACTGGCCATTGAAACCATGGTGGGATTCTTTTAGAAACAGAGTTTCCTCTTTCACTTGGTTCTTTTTTTAGTTTTCTCCTTAATTAATCTCTTGCAGTGACCTAGAGTCCCGCAGGGATGTGAAGAGAGAAGAAGGAGAGGCCTTTGCTAGGGAGCATGGACTTATATTCATGGAAACTTCAGCCAAAACAGCCTGCAATGTTGAAGAGGTACTATTTGGAAAATAGTGGGGAAAGCTCTTTAGAGATTACACGATGATCTTTGTCATTTCATTCAGAATTCTCTTTTCCCATAAGAAATGGATAAAGAAAGGAAGTCTTGTGGTCATAGTGACCATATCTGTCATTCCTTATAAAGGAATCGTCCCATTTTCTTTTACCTTGATTTCCAAGGTTTTACTTTTGCTTTGGGTAATATTAGTTGGCAAGATTAGACATCACTCTTGTTACTAGTAAATCACTCTGGTTGGAATGTCTAATGGATTCTACTTTAGTCATTCCTAGGCCTGGTGTTGATGGTGTCTTCAGTAACTAGTAGAGAATAGAGCATGTTTGTTTTATCTGTGGAAGGTACCAACCTAGGAACCTCTTGGGTCAGTACCAGAATATCACATAATCCCTTTTTTTTTTTTTTAACTACTCTTTTTTTTTTTTTTTTTTTTTTTTTTTTTGGGGACGGAGTTTCACTCATGTTACCCAGGCTGGAGTGCAATGGCGCAATCTCAGCTCACCGCAACCTCCGCCTCCTGGGTTCAGGCAATTCTCCTGCCTCAGCCTCCTGAGCAGCTGGGATTACAGGCATGCGTCACCATGCCCAGCTAATTTTTTGTATTTTTAGTAGAGACGGGGTTTCACTGTGTTGACCAGGATGGTCTCGATCTCTTGACCTCGTGATCCACCCGCCTCGGCCTCCCAAAGTGCTGGGATTACAGGCTTGAGCCACTGCGCCCGGCTTTTTAACTGCTCTAATGGCTTTTGGGAGACCTTCTTTTTGTTTGTTTGTTTTCTTGAGGCTGAGTCTTGTTCTGTCACCCAGGCTGGAGTACAGTGTTATAATCTCAGCTCACTGCAACCTGCCCCTCCTGGGTTCAAGCGATTTTTGTGCCTCAGCCTCCCAAGTAACTGGGATTACAGGCATGTGCCACCATGCCCAGCTAATTTTTATATTTTTAATAGAGACAGGGTTTCACCATGTTGGCCAGGCTGGTCTTGAACTCCTGACCTCAAGTGGTCTGTCCACCTCGGTCTCCCAAAGTGCTGGGATTATAAGTGTGAGCCACCATGCCTGGTTGACCTGTATTTTTAACTGCTTTCTACTGGTTCCTAATTCACCTTAGAAATTAAAATATGAATAATAATTAATATTCTGTTTCCTTAATTTCTCTACCTGAACTTGAAACTGAAGTTATGATTTATGTCTCTTTCAGGCCTTCATTAACACAGCCAAAGAAATATATAGGAAGATCCAGCAGGGTTTATTTGATGTCCACAATGAGGTAAGAAAGAGTAGAAGTGCTGGCAGTTAACTTTGGTTTGTTCTGAATAGGACTGGAGGTTCCCTAGAATAGAATGCTTATGTTCCCCATCCATCATTATACTATTTAAAAGCTCTGCCAATTTTTTTTTTTTTTTTTTAATCTAGGTACACAGAGACCTGTCATCACTTTCTATTTTCCTCGTCTGACACCCAGGATGCTTAAAGAGACTATTCATGATCTAAAAGACTTATACAATATGGAAAATTTTCTTCTCAACTTTAGTTTTTTACTATTCTAGAGCATAAGGGAGGTATAATTCATAATTGCTTAGGAGAGTCATTTCTATAAAGCAACTGCTGGAACAAAACGAAAAGAATCATATGCTACTTCTGCTTTTTGCCTTCTCCACTCTTACCTAATCACACCCTAATTCTGCACATAGCTATGACATTAAAGTATAATAGTGTACCTTAAAAATGAGCACAGGGGTCAGGTGTGGTGGCTCATGCTTATAATCCCAGCACTTTGAAAGGCTGAGCTGGGGAGATTGCTCTGAGCTGGGAGTTTTAGACCAGTCTGGGCAACAAAGAGAGACCCCTGTCTCTACAAAAAAATTAAAAAATTAGCCAGGCATGGTGGCTCACACCTATAATCCCAGCACTTTGAGAGGCTGAAGTGGGCAGATCACGAGGTCAGTAGTTCAAGACCAGCCTGACCAACATGGTAAAACCCTGTCTCTACTAAAAATATGAAAATTAGTTGAGTGTGATGGCACGTGCCTGTAATCCCAGCTACTCAGGAGGTTGAGGCAGGAGAGCTGCTTGAACCCAGGAGGCAGAGGTTGCAGTGAGCCGAGATCACGCCACTGCACTCCAGCCTGGGCGAAAGAGTGAGACTCCATCTCAAAAAAAAATTTTTTTTTAATGAGCACAAAGGTGCAGTGGCATACCTGTAGGCTCAGCTACTTGGGAGGCTGAGGCAGGATCATTTGAGGCCAGAAGTTTGAGGCAATAGTGCATGACAATCATACCTGTGAATAGCCACTGCACTGCAGCCTGGGCCACATAGGGATACCTCGTTTCTTCAAGGAAAAAAAAAGTGCAGAAAAGCGACTTCTAGTCAACTACGGTATTTAGACCACAGGCAGTCATCTTATTCTTAGTGTTATAGATTATTGTTCCACAGTAGTCTGGCTAGGGCACATGGTTACTTGTCAAGGTCAAACCTGCTTTTAGAAGATATAATTAATGATTTCTCCTTTCTCCCCTTTCTTTTTTCTTTTCTACCCTGGGATACAAGCAGAAATAGCCTCCTCCTCTCTCTCAATTGCTTTAACACTGAGGTGGGAACTATTGCCTCTTTTCTTTTACAGGCCAATGGCATCAAGATTGGGCCCCAACAGTCAATTTCAACATCAGTGGGACCCAGTGCCTCCCAGCGGAACTCTCGTGACATAGGGGCCAACTCTGGCTGCTGCTGAACATCTGGCTTGAACTCTTTTTTTCCTTTCTGGAATAGCTTCAGATCAATAGGCTTAATGAAAGAGGTCTTTCTTGCTTTGGCTGAGAGGAACCTCTTTTAAGGTGTGATGTTTTGCCTTTCCTTCTAAAGACCAGGGGAGTATTTGGGCCCTTACTGACCTGTCCTCCTTCTGGGACATGAGCATTCCCTATAGATTAGGGCTCTTCTTATCCTCCTATACTAATTTCTAAAATGTTAGGATCAAAGCTGGTTATCACAGTAGTTAAAAAATAAATAATTTCATAAGCATATACAATCCACTCCCCACTAAGAATTAGGGTCAAGGACATTCTGCTTGAACACTTACAGTTACCAGGATCTGGTTGGCCTTTGGATGATAGATCCTCTGCCTAGGAATTTCATTTAGCTTTTAAATTCCTTGCCTTTGGGGGTCTACTTGCCACTTCCTAAGAATTCTTGTAGAAGGTGGTTCCTTCTACTTGGACAAGAACACTGAGTACTTCTCTACTATCCTATTGTTAGCTTCTATCTCTTAGCGTAACTTCAAAACTTTTGAAAGCAGTGGAGTTGGTCAGGGACATGTGACCACTTATTACCTAAAGAAAATATTTGTTCCCTGTTCATTTTATTTTAGGGACCAGATCTAACATTATAGTGTCTTTTACCAGACAGACTTCTATTGTTTCATCAAACTCACTTCTTAACTAGACCTAGACTTTCTACTCCAATCAAGCTAATCTACTTACTGAACGTGACATGTTTATTCCTAGTTTCATACCTTTGCACATGCCCTGCTCTCCACTAACTATATACTTAAAAGTTCAAAAATTTTTTCTTTTGTAACAGACTTAGGGACTTCTAAGCAATTATTAACACAATATCCCTTAGTTTTCATATGTTGGTTATTCATATGTATATTTATATGCATATTTATTTTTATGTATGTTACTATGTAAATATGTTTTGCAATTGTTTTTGTGTGGAATCTTGTCTTTCCATATAAGTTGTAAGCTCCTTGAGAGCAGGATCTGTGTCATTCCTTTATTTTTATAAATCACTCCCTCCACCATTCCTGTACCTAGTGTTACTCATTATGTGTTCATTGAATTTGACTGACATACTTAAAAACTTAAGGTTTATTTTGTACTTTAAAGGAAACAAAAGACTTTAGAGTTATCTCTTTGTAATTCTGCCCCTCTCATTTGTTTACCCTGGGGTTCTATACTGTTCTTTTCCTTCCCCTCTCCCACCTCTCCGACCTTTCCTTGTCTCTTTGCCTTCATGCCATGCAGCATACAGTAAGGCTGCCTGCTACCAAGCAGTCAGATAAGTGCGCGCCTATCCAGCCATTCTCTTTTCAGAGCACTTAATACTATCTTAGCCAAATTTGCCTTTGCTTCACTCATCATGCAGCCTTCTGGGTCAGTTGCTATATTTATCTTTTTTGCTTGATGTCCCATTCTCTTCCACAGCTCTGAGGTCTCATGAATTTTTCTACTTTCTTTTTGCTGTCGATGAATTGTTTCATTATTAAATATATGCATGTATTAAAGCTGTTCATACTCCATGTGTCATTTCTGATTGTATCCCAAACATTAGTAGATAACTCTCCTCTTAGGCAGTTGTGTCAAAGATAATGAAGAAACCTCCTCTTTGGGATTAATTTTATACTGGATTCTGACCCCAGTAGTAGTAGTAACAGTTAACAGTGCACCACAGGAAGTTGGAAGACATTTGGTGTATTGCTTTTGTTTTTTTGTTTTTTGTTTTTTGTTTTTTTTGAGATAGAGTCACTCTGTCAACCAGGCTGGAATGCAGTGGCACAATCTTGGCTCACTGCAACCTCTGCCTCCCAGGTTCAAGTGATTCTCCTGTCTCAGCCTCCCAAGTAGCTGGGATTACAAGCGCACGCGACCACGCCCAGCTAATTTTTGTATTTTAGTAGAGATGGGGTTTCACCATGTTGGCCAGGCTGGTCTTGAACTCCTGACCTCAGATGATTCACCCACCTTTGCCTCCCAAAGTATTGGGATTACAGGCGTGAGCCACCATGTCCAGCTGTTTTTTTTTTTTTTTTTTAATTCTACCCGATTCCAGAAAGGATTTGAAGCTGTTAAATTTGGAGTTAGACTGCTCTCTTACATCTGAGACAAAACTAAAGTAATAAAAACTGTAGTTTCTGTATGGAAGGTTTTTTTTTTTGTCCCACCCCAAAAAATTCTTTAGCAATTGAGAAGCATTAGAGGATTGATGAAAGACAGCATTCTGCGGGCCGGGTGCAGTGGCTCACGCCTGTAATCCCAGCACTTTGGGAGGCTGAGGTGAGTGGATCACAAGGTCAAGAGATGGAGACCATCCTGGCCAACATGGTGAAACCCCATCTCTACTAAAAATACAAAAATTAGCCGGGCGTTTGGCATGCACCTGTAGTCCCAGCTACTTGGGAAGCTGAGGCGGAAGAATCGCTTGAACCCAGGAGGCGGAGGTTGCAGTGAGCCAAGACTGTGCCACTGTGCTCCAGCCTGGCAACAGAGCAAGACTCTGTCTCAAAAAAAAGAAAAAGAAAGACAGCATTCTGCCTACAGCTACTGCTTTCAGAGATAATAAAGGATATCATTTTGATATTTTGAGCAAAGTTGTTTTTTTTTTTTTTTTTTTTTTTTTTTAGACAGTCTCACTCCGTCACCAGGCGCCAGGCTGGAGTGCAGTGGCGCGACCTCGGCTCACTGCAGCCTCCGCCTCCCGGCTTCAAGCAGTTCTCCTGTCTCGGCCTCCCGAGTAGCTGGGACTACAGGCGCGCGCCAACACGCCCAGCTAATTTTTTTGTATCTTTAATAGAGACAGGGTTTCACCATGTTGGCTAGGATGGTCTCGATCTCTTGACCTTGTGATCCGCCCTCCTCGGCCTCCCAAAGTGCTGGAATTACAGGCATGAGCCACCACGCCCGGCCCGATAAATCTTAATACTAAAATCCAAATTGATGTAATAGCAGCAGTAGCCAAGTGAGAATTTTGCTGACAGAATTTGATACACAGGGAAACGTATTTGGCCAAGACTTATCACTCATATGACTCCTTAATGTGTTTGAGCTCCCACCATGTAAGACCATGCAATTGTTACTCCTTGAGAAATTCCTTTGATGATCTGGAAGGATTTCCTCACTCATAACTTTAAAAAAAGATTTCTAGGCCGGGCGCGGTGGCTCAAGCCTGTAATCCCCGCACTTTGGGAGGCCGAGGCGGGTGGATCACGAGGTCAAGAGATTGAGACCATCCTGGTCAAAATGGTGAAACCCCGTCCCTACTAAAAATACAAAACATTAGCTGGGCATGGTGGCGCGTGCCTGTAATCCCAGCGACTCAGGAGGCTGAGGCAGGAGAATTGCCTGAACCCGGGAGGCGGAAGTTGCAGTGAGCCGAGATCGCGCCATTGCACTACAGCCTGGGTAACAAGAGCGAAACTCCATCCCAAAAAAAAAAAAAAAAAAGATTTCTTGGCTGGGAGCGGTGGCTCATGTCTGTAATTCCAGCACTTTGGGAGGCCAAGGTGGGCGGATCACTTGAGGTCGGGAGTTTGAAACTAGGCTGACCAACATAGCGAAACCCCGTCTCTACTAAAAATACAAAAATTAGCTGGATGTGGTGGCGGATGCCTGTAGTCTGAGCTACTTGGGAGGCTGAGGCACGAGACTCACTTGAACCTGGGAGGCAGAGATTGCAGTGAGCTGGGATCACCCCACTGCACTCCAGCCTGGGTGACTGAGGGAGACTCTGTCACCAAAAAAAAAAAAAAAAAAAAAAAAAAAAAAATTCTTGTAGTGAGTTTTAATAGCAGTAGAGATTTAGACTATGAAGTACAGGAAAACCTTTCTCGTTGAGTGCAAGAGAATTTCACTTATGATGAAATTATTTCCTTTCCAATTTACGGAAGAAAATTACTCTTCCCCAGGGCTGCCCCCTAATGGCCTTCCTTCTCCTTAAATATAATTTCTCCTCTAAGGCCTCTATTATTTGCGTAGATATATCTGTAGTTTTGATATGTTGATGAAACTTAGGCCTTAAAAAAAAAAAGGAATTCCTCCCTAAGTTCCGTTTTTTATTTCCAACTGATTCAGAGTGCACCTGCTGGAAAATCTGCAAGTGAATCGTAAAGATTAGAAGCACCTAGAATATTTTGAGTAAGGTGTCCATAAAGGATTACCCTAGGAACGTGTAACTTTAACTCTCATTCGAAGAATTAATTTTTGCTTATTCGATTTGTTAAAATTGCTTTACTCCTACAGTTATGTGAGACGGTGGTGGTTACCCGTAATCACACACGGCAATATTCCAGGGTTTCACATCGTGACTGAGGGGCACTCTGCATACAGGAGAGTATGTTCGGGCTGGACCTAGATAGCCGGACAGAACGCCGACAGGAGCTTCAGGTTCTTTAAGCAGTCTCACCGGGTCCCCGCCTCCAAGGCACCAGTCCGAGCCAAGATGGCTTCCCAGAAGTAGGTAACTAAGTGTTCTTTTAGTTCAGAGCGCCCCCAATGGCGGGGGTCAAAAAAAAGATGCCGAAGGGCCTGGCCGCCTGTGAACTGAGCCGTCAGAGGCCAGCTGCCGCCAGATTTTATTTTCAATCAGGCATATTTGTGGTCGCCTACGTTCCCTTCTCATCCTCCTAGGACCCTCCACCCTCAAGAGACTTCCTGGATGGCGCTCACACTAGCCCTCTGGAAGAGGCCGGGCTTCGGTGCTGCCATTGGCGCATCGGAGTACAGGGGGGCGGAGCCTAGGGAGAATGGACTACTAGCAAGCTAGATTGAGGCGAGGGCTGGCCATGCTCCGCCGGAAGGCGCCTTGTTCTCGGAGACGGTGAGTTGAAACGCTGCCTGGAAAGGAAGCACCAGGACTTGTACAGGTAGGCTTCCCGCTCACACCCGCTCCCCAGTGCTGGGCCAGGAGTCAGCAAAAGCTGAGGCTCTCAGAGATTTGATTTCAGTAACTCTTCCTCCTCCTCTCTCTTACATCCCCTGCTCGCCCCCCAGTTGTGAGGGATCAGGTGCGGGGTGATGCTCCGGACTGAACCAGTCTCCTTTGTGAAAGGCCGGGGGAGAGGGCGGCTGCCGGGCCGCGGGATCCTAGCCGGGCCGAGCCGCAAGGGACTGCCTGGGACGCTGTGGAGTTTTTAGGGCTTGTCATTGCATTACTGGGCGTAGTGTAGATTGGAGGCGGCGCCTTGTTCTCCTCTCTTAACAGAAGGGAAAACTCCCCGGCCCCGTTTGGTTACTCCATACTTTGGACTCAGAAATAGGAGGTTAGGGTTTTCTACTTCTTCTTATTTTTCTTTTTTCTTCTGTATTTCAATAATGAAGGTGGGTAGGAAAGCAAAGGGTAAGCGTATGCGGATTGTTACTCATTCTCAGGTGTAAGTTCTGTGGGTCTCCTGGGAGTGAAGAGCAGGCCGTTGGAGAATGTTTAGAGATAGTGGGAAGAGAGGGGCTCAAGCCTTGCATCTCCCTTGACAGGTCTGCAGAGCTCACTGGTTTTCCGTTGCATTATGTAAACTCTTCACTGATAGAAGACCCCTCCCCCTGCTTTGGAGCGAATGCAGTTTCTTTATTTACCTGTCTCTAGTGTCGCAGGGAATTTCCCTGCAGCAGCTGTGCAAATGCAGCAGTCTCTTACCTTTTAAGGGACAGTCTTGAAGCGATTAGGGTCTTCACAGAAGAGGTATATAGTGGATCAGTCTCTTTTGTATGGACTGAGCAAAGTGACCCAGAAGTCAAAGATTTAGAACTCTTTTTCTATGAAAGAATAGACATAGCGGAGCGCCCCAAACACAAGCCAAGGGAGCTGCCTCATCAGTGCCTACTGCATCCCACCATCATACCCGTCCACAGATCGTTTCATCTCCATGCTTTTCTGAGTTTGTCGACTCAGTCAAGGATTTTCAGCCTAGGTTATCTTTAGCATCTGCTGAAGTCATCTGGTGTGGGGCACATTACACATCGAAAGTGAGTTTTTGATTTGGATAGTGTCCTCTGTTAGTTAATTAGATCAGGTCTTGTGCTTAGGAGTTTCTTTTGTATTGGTCACCCAATAGTTTCAGAACAAATCCTAGTCAACTTCATAGAGCGAGATGTGAGAAACTTATTTCAAGTACTTTGGAATTATCCCAACCCTTAAAAAAAGAGTTATGATAAAAAACATTTTCCGTTTAAGAAGGCCTTCTGTTGCAAGAAAGGCATGCCAGCAGATCTAAAGGCAAGTGAAAGACATTGGCCAAAGAGAGGGTAGGGAAATGTGAAGAGACAGGCTTGGGAGAAGGTTTAAAACTGAAGTAAGTGGGCCAGTCGTGGTGGCTCACGCTGGTAATCCCAGCACTTTGGGAGGTGGAGGCAGGCGGATCAGTTGAGGTCAGAAGTTTGAGACCAACCTGGCCAACATGGTGAAACCCCATCTCTAAAAGTACAAAAAATACAAAAATATGAAAAAAAATTAGTCGGGCATGATGGCAGGCACCTGTAATCCCAGCTACTCAGGAGGCTGAGGCAGGAGAATCCCTTG